TGCAGCGTTTAACCTGAAGATGGGAATCTTTCCACTGTGTCTGGATCATCGGGTGGTATGAGCTACATGCTTGGTTGCTTCCTCCCCATTCATTCTTCATGGGTGGACAGAGGAGGTGTGAAACCTGCCATGGTGCTATGGCATCAACTCAGAGCTAGAAAGCAGGTGCTCCCAAGCATGTGGAGATGGGGTATTTGAAGTAAGGTTATAACCTGATGAGGCTGTGTAAAGAAATTCTGAAAGCAATTTCTGACTATTTGTTAAATGATGTGCACTCGGTGGGGTTGTTACATTCATAACTGTGCTCGTTGATAGGGGCATGTACTACTACGAGTATAAATTGTGACCTGAGAGGGCTACAACTCTAATAGCTAAAAGGCAACACAAAGTACGTATATGTTGAATCTCAATTGATTAACCCAGTATATAAACTTAAATAACTACAAGCAAACAAGTAGATTTATTCTGGATTCCCTAACATTACTAAAGCCAAAACCTGACCCGCATATATTAATAGCTAGCACTAAATGTACATTTAACTATATAGTATAGTTCGTATAATTACATATCTGTACACATAATTGTATAGCCTAAATATTGCATTCATATTTTTCCTTTCTTTAAAATATATGCCATCAACAGAAAGGTTTAATCACTTGGTGAATGCAGAATAGCGAGTGTCTGATACTCTCACTTAATGGTGTAAACTGTCTAATCCTGTAGCATAGCAGTTCTCATTGCTTATTAGTAAATGAAGTGCCATTTGTGTCGGAGACCTGTAACGGCTTGGGTTAATGCAATCACCTCTAAGAGCAGCTACCTGTGAGGCCTCCAGAGACATTTTAAAAGGCAGAATGTGTCCATAGCAGAGCAATGTTGCATGAGCAAGAGACATCGTGGAAACTGTAGTAAATGATAAGTCTCTCCCACTTCCTGTATTGTAGTAAATCTTAAAGAAACCATTTGAGTGCTTTCAGAACACTATGCACTGGGAGTTTTAAGTAGTTTCCTCTGAAGACTAATTTTGATTACGAACCTTGATAGTTCTTCCATTTGACAGAAGAGTTACTGTAGTCTGCTTGACACATGATTGATATATTCGAGGGATGGAGAATTACGTTGTCATTAGACTCTAGTGGAATATTTTCTCATTTACTGCAAACTTTAAGAACTTCTTGTTAAATTTTAAAACATACTCTATTCAAAGGTACCTACAATTGCTTTTCCAAATCTCTTTCTTAAAGATTGATTTAGGTGCTTTTTGTGTCTTGAAGTTGAAGGACATTTATTGCCATTGTCTATTTACGTTATGATCTTGGAATAATCTGATCTGTATTCAAAAAATATTCTGAGAGAGCTTATTGTTATGACTTTAAATATATGCAATGGAAAAATAATCCCTATTTAAAGTTTATCTTTTTCTTTATATATTCATTATCTCATTTTAATAGAAGAAAAAGACAGGACATTATGGTTCTGAAGGGAAATAAATGGACTTCAGCAAGTTGCAACAGATTCACCAGTTGGCCAGAGGAGGGAGCGATGAAGCCTTTCTGGCTGGTGAGATCAATGCTTCAGCCTAAACTGAAATGTAATAGCTATTTTGGCAATCTGCTTTTGTGCTATTAAATCTTGATTAATCCAATAACAAGAACAATAAGTTATATTTTACTCTGCTTTAAATTAAGGCAACCCTTATGAATTCAGTAGGGATGCATAAGTTATTAAAGGTAGTAAAAATGGGGCACACCCAAGCTAATAGCTAAAAATTTGATAGTGCACTGGGGATTCCTGACTCTCTCTGTGTCGAAGCAAAGCTTAAACAAATTTGCATGCAGTAGGATCTCTATGTATCTTGTGTTGTAAAGAGTACACCAAGAACATTAGTGAGATTTAAAATCAGGCACAAGTACAAAGCAGAAAAAACACAGCCTTTTCTTCAGTTGACACCACAGCTGGTGGGTCAAAATTATTGTGCAATCAACTTTGTGTTTATGTCAGAATTCACTATGGCCTATTAACACTGCTGCTTTTTGATCGTAATTAATAATAGGAAGGATAAAATTGCATTACATAAAAATGGAGGAAATATGATGACTGTGGAAGGAAGGAGCTGCCAGGGGTGGGGTGGGATAAAAGAAAAGGAAAAGCAGAACCAGGGAAGGGGAAGAGCATCAGTCTTCCAAAGTAATTAGATACTATTCTAGTATTTCAGTGGCTGTCATTCCATGTATCTTTAACAATGCTGAAAACTGAGAATATCCTATATTTTTGTTACCTACATATATTAATATCTCTGCCTCTAGAAATCAGGACTATGCTAAAGCAGTTTTTCTGTTGGTAACTACTTCAGGTTCCAAGCAGTTGCTTTGGTTGCTACCTACAGTCAGTGTTGTCTGTTCAGGAGCAGAAAAAGTAGCAGAGATCTTTCTTCCATATCCGGTAGGTGTATGTTGGAAGTAGGTTGGCTACAGCTTCAGTAAGATCCCTCATTCTTTTCCGAAGACATACGTCTAAGTGACACCAATATAAAAGTATTGCAGAATCCATAGACTTGCCGGGAAATGGCGTACGCATAGCTAGGCTCAAGAGCTAACTCATTGCTGGCAGAAGTTTGGCAGGGACAATACCGGTTTGAGGATCCTATTGCGAAAGCAGCCCTAACCCTGTTAGATGCTCACTCGTGTTTTAATGTTCCGGAGGCCGTGGACTCTGTACAGGCTGTTCTGCAGCTTGAGAGCCACCTTCATTTCACCCCAGCCCTCTTGTCATCCCCAGAGGGCTCCCTCTCCTCCTTGGCACTTCACCCCGTCACCTGTTCCCAAACCGCTGAGCCCATGGCTAGCACAGGGGCAGTTAGCACAGCCACCCCTGGCAGACGGCTGCCACTTTATCCACTTACTAACCATAGGGACCTGGTCAAATTTCTGATGATAGCCCCCACACTAGCAGAAGCAACAGTATTTTGATGTGCTGAAATGCTGTTATTAACAGTATGAAAATGACACATGGTGCTGACGATGGCTCGATCCTATGAGCTATGTTGGTTTAGGTAAAGCTGCATTTTTTTCTAGCATGGCACCAGTCCAAAGAAAACATTTTGGGTTGTTCTTTCTTATGGTGACAGAGTTTCATCTTGAATGCTAAAGAGCGAGAGTGTCTTTTTAGACTTACTTTCCTCCCTTGTAAGCGTGCTCAAGGGCTATTTGAACTGATTGCTTAATATAATTGTCTCTCTCTGTTCTGACGTCAGGGAAGTCGAGGTGGGAGAATAATGCTCGCATCTGCAGGTGGTAAAAAAAGCACCAGTGCATTTCAGAAAAACTCAACCAGTTTCAGTGTAGGAGGGTTAACTGTGATACACACTAAGAAGCTTGTCCTACTAATACTTTAGTATTCAGTCTCATAGCTCTTTAGACTTAATTTCAAAGTGTGTATTTGCATCATTGCTGAAAGACAGCCTCCTTTCTAATCTAATAACTAATGCAATTGCTTGCAGTGTGGTTTCTCAGTAGTTCTTGGTCATGCTGTTTTCCGCATGTATGGGGCATTGCTAGAGGAGATGGAGAAGTGGCAGCTGTTTGCTTCAATAAGGCTCATGAAATGCAGAGCACATTTTCATATCCAAGTGTTTCATCCATCTCCACAGCACGCAGTGGGCCAAATCCAGCCAAGAGCAGCTTCTGGCAAGTAGCTGAGACACCCAAGGAAGTCTGCAGCCATGTTTGCACCAGAAAACATTTATACACTGAGCAGGAGTTGATTACAAGTGAAGCACAGGTGGATGTAGATTGTTGTAGTAGCAAATCTTGCATGCATTTAAAATGTGGTGGATCTAGAAAAGCTGGCATCGAGAGCTATATAGAGTCAATACAAGGACGGTGGTAGCAAGAAAAATCGGCAGTGAAAGAAATTATGAAGCAGCCTTTTCCTAACCCTTCACCCAATTTAATTTATACAATCTGCCACAGTCTCAGCTTTAATCCTGGATTAAAGCCCCGGATTCAGTGCTGGGATAAACTGAATTCCACGGGAGTTGTGCCCATTCACACAAAGACAGAGTTTGTTCCCATAGAGTAACGATGTGCCTTCCCACTGATAATTTTACCACTTGAATGCCAAGTGTCCAGAGACACTTGCTTCATATTCCTGCTTCACTTGGTGTAAAATCGGCACCCGGCAGAGCTCCTCTGCTCTGGCCGGTTTGGTATACCATTGCGAGGTGTCAAAAAGGGGACTGCCTTCAGCGTTTTGCCTGGATCATTTCCCAGTCATACAGTGCTCCCTAGCAGATGGCTACATCCAGCTCTGCTACAGTCAGCAGCAACTTCCTTCCCATACCCATAAGTGACGCTAGCACAGTTGTAACCCTCCTGTATGGCTGAGATGCTGACGTCAGTGGGAGCCTACACAGCCGTATGGCTCTGCCTGCGTCAGTCGGAGGTGGTAAGGGTCAGGGCTTAATAAATAGCAGGGAATCAGTAGCACCAATGTTGAAACTCAATCTATTGGAGCAATATAGCTTTCAGTGGTTTTATTTAATTTTTAAAATAGCTTTTCTCACTCAGCCAAGTCCATTACCTCCTACGTTCTTCCTTCTTTGGCCTAAATTTCATGGGTTACGGTTTGCATGTTTGTTCTGCCTAAGCAGGATGGCTGGATCCAGTGTGGTTGTGCCTATTCAGGGTTTTTCTTCTTTTCAGTTCAACTTTTTTCTCTTTCATTCTGCAAGTCATTTCAGGGAAGCATACAGGTAAGGGTGTGTTTGCTTGTTTATTTTATGTACATGACAGAGCACTTATATAATTTGTAAACATTTACTTGCTCACTGATCCTATAGAAGATAACTGCATCTGACATTTTATGTTTCCCTGCTAGTTGGGTTTCTGAAAAAACTTTCAAGAGCATTAACATGAAAATGACAGGACCAATCCCTGTGATTCTTTTTCCCCTGCAGCGCTCTGCAGTAAGAGAACATCCTGCACTGCTTTGTTTTTCAGGTTGATGGTTTCCTGACACTTCTCTTTGGCCTGGCTAGCATTAATACCCTTACAGTAATCAGTGTGACTCGCTACATCAAAGGTTGCCACCCTGAGAGAGGTAAGGAATAAAGGCAGGTCCAGTTCTGCCTTCACTGAACCTGGTACAAATCCGTATTTCTTCCAGTCACAGGCTACATCAAACATAAATTATATGCATTGGAAACCAGAATGTAACTTAGTCATTTACATTACAAACATGTTTGCATAGAATCCTTCAGGGTTAACACCAGTAAGAGCCAAACTTATAACTAGTACCCTTTGGTCACCATGGGTTAAATTCACCCTTCTGCCAAAGATACCACAGGTCCTGCTAATGCTCTCTATTCTTCAAAAGGCAACTTAAATGACTATTAAGCGATGCATACATCATTGTCTGGATCTCACTGTAAGCAATGAATTTCATCTTCTATGAGATTAGGTTTGGGAAGTTTCCAGTCACTGATAAGATCCTTGATTCAGAAGGCTGCCCTACGTGCAAACATCTTCACCGTTCAGGGTGTTGTGCCAGCGTTTGCACACAGCAGGCATCATGGGACTGCTTTAGAGGGCACTGGGAACATTGTCTGCTCTCCTGGGCTCCAGCTTTTGTAGTACTGCGCAGCCTGACACCCCCACATGCCTCTCTGGCCTCCCTCAGTGGACAGTTTCATACCACAGGAGATGAAAATTACTCCCACCATCCCCAAAACTAACCATGACCCAACTCTGCCCAGACTGTCCCTGTCTCCTGCCTGTCTCCCAGATTTGCGAGGCGTCATCATCACAACCTCATACCCACACTTCTTCCTTCTCTAGTGCCTTGTCAATCTGTAACCTGAATATCTCAAACCACCACTCTTCATTACTCTCTCCAGTGCTAGAAACCTTTCACTAACCACTCTCTTGTTTTTTTAATTTCACAGTTAATTTTATTAACCTTTGGTATAAATGTCTCTGTAAAGGCATGTAAGTGTCCCACTGTACAAATCTCGTCTGAAATCCTTCACACATTTCCTGACATGTGAAGCCCTCATCAGCAAGTCTATGTAAACATGCCATCATCTACCCCGTTCCTTTTATGCCTCTTTACATCACCACACTCACCCCAGGCATCACCTTTCACATGATCAGTAGAAACCTTTCCTTACCATCCATCCTGGATCTCCTGCCTGCTGAAAACTGATTTCCGCTGGGAGCCTTATGTGCTCTCTCTTCTTCATACCTACACCTTCCATAAATTCTCCCAAGTCTTCCTTTCACCCATCTGTAGATAATGTATTATCAATTTTCATGTCTTTATGACTGGCTTGCACCATCTTTCAGGCAGGAACCTATTAATGTCCACAGGTAAAACATACATAAATACACTGAGTGCATCATAGACATTTTTCTCTCTAATAGCATGAGTAGTATTAGCTGTGAGAAGAACTTCTTCAGGGACATCTTTTTTCCACAGGAAATTCTTCTGCAGTTTGTTGTAATAATAGACTTGTTGAGGTTAATTTTCAACACAAACTGCTGCTGGAGCTGCTAGAATTTGGCTGTGATGTATTCTATATCTTATATTCATTGCGCAGTATGAAGTCATATTTAAACCCCATGTTTCTCTTTTGCAAAGCTGTACCACATGGACATCTGAGGGTGTGCGTAATTTATGTTTGCCTCTTGAGGAAATGTGAGCAAGTACCCCGTATAACTTTACAGAAATGTTGAGGAACAGAGATTGGTGGATGCATAAATATTTCCCATGTACACAAAGAAATAACCACAATGTACGGCAAGAGCAGGACAGATTAAAAAAATAGTATTGATTGGCTAATATAGTTTGAGCATCTGATGTTTTTTCTCCTTCTTAACAGTGAAAACATTGAAGTGAATAAGAAAGTCCTCTCACTTTAGACTTATCTTATCTGTTCCTACCTAAAACTTAACAATTTACATACAACAGTTTCTCACTTTTTATAAAATTGCAAAACCTAAGTCCAACATAAATTTCCTAATTCTGTAGTGCTTAACAAATGCATCTCCTGCTAAATAGTCATTCAGTTCCATTGTTCACAAATGGTCTTGAACACAAGCCTGACAGATGCTTTCAAATTTAAGTTTTTCTTATGAATGTGTTTTTTGTCTTAATATTTTTTTTAAATAGCTGTATTTTCCTTATTAACTGTTGGTATAGGAGTGCGTTTAGATTTCAGGAGATATGTTTGCCTTTCTAGACATTCTTTTCTGACCACACCATGCCATTTCAGGTCATTGCATCAGCAACAGCAGTATGACCGTGGCTCTGGTTCTCATTTGGATAGCAGCTTGCTTCTGGTCAGCAGCCCCATTACTTGGCTGGGGCAGTTATACAGGTAACAGGTATCTTTCAGTTATACTTATTTGGCATCTCTCCACTTAACTGAACAAAGATACTTACCTTCCCTTCTTGCTGTTTGTGATAAACCAGACTGATAATCAGTGGAACTGAGAAAATCATTCATCATGCATGACGTTCACGCAGAGTGTTGCCTGCTTTGGTATCAGCTATAACGAGATTTTTTTGAGAATATCACAGGAAAGACTTGGACGAAGTGCATATTACCTATGAAAAAAAAGAGAGATCAGAAATATTTGGCATGGTTAAGTCATGAGATAAAGGAAATTATCAAAAGACATCCTTCAAAACTGTCAAGATTATGAAGCTAGAAAAGAACACAAGTTCCAGCAAGTTAAACTTGAAACTATAATAAGACAAGCCAGAAAGATCTGGTGAAACAGTTTGTAGAAAATATGAAAACTAACATAGCAGCAGAAGAAAAAGATGTCAGAATGTTTGTCAGTCCAAGAAGCGACTAGGGTGCAAGATAAGGCCATAGCAAAAAAGGGAGGGGGAGGAAAAAAAGGAAAAATTTTTAGTAGTGAATACTGCAGCAATTCAATGGCTAAGGAATATTCCCACAACAGAAAATTTCTTCATGGGGGAAAGTTGGAGAAATTGTCACAAATTAAGTCTCTAAAAATTCAATGAAACAAATGTCTAAGAAGAAATGGTAATGATACAGGAGTCCTAACAACTGAAATCCTGTGACTGAAACTGTCCAACAGTTATCTGCCTGAATCCTGTAGGCATCTGCATCATTTGAGAAGTCATTAAATCTATGAAGCAGTTATGTGAATATATCCTCTTACTTATTAAATACACAAGCTCTGAGGTATCTCTGGACCCTTGAAGCATGATTGGTTAAATCTTCTATCCTTCCCAAAACCAAATGTTACCAGGATTATTAGGTTAAATGGATCTTTTGTTTGAAACAAAAGCCAAACTGTTTATTATACTGTTCTAGTATTATGTCATGTTTTTGCATTCTGGATATGTCATAAACTTGGGGGGTTTGGACTGGTCATTTTCTGTGTATCTTCTTTTTGAACCTTAGGGTCTACTGATGAAAAAGGCAAAGGAGACAAAAATCTATTTCTACTACTGAACACATCCAGACAGCAACACCTAGAGCTTTTGGTGTTAAAAATACCAAACTTTTTTTGATGAGAATCATAAAAGAGATTTTAGTCTTTTCCTCCTTTAATTCTTCCTGCCTAAACCTCCTATCACCTATGAGGAATTAAGGGATTTTTTTTTTTTTTCTTCAGAATTATCACTGGATGTCAGGGAGAGATCTATTGCTAAATCATGCAGGCTTCACCTATATTGTATCTCCAGGACTTGTTAATACTTGACTTACATAATTTTGGATCATGCTTCATTTATTTATAATTTAGTTTGCTGCCATAGCTGCCAGAAAAAAACAGCTTTTTCCACTTAAAAAGAAAAATCAACAATTCACAATCTATAGAAAACCTCTAATGCTACCAACTCAAGTTTTATATCAGGACACATTTGCAAACACAACAGACTGTCTAAAGAAGTAAACTTTTATTCATAAAAATATTTAAGCAGAGACTCCACCTTATTCCTACAACCTTTCCCTTAAGTATGTGATCAGCTAGTGTCCTTTTGTAAATCCTACTAGCTGTAGATCCTGCAATCTGCCTGACTTCATTTTTAAGAGCCTACAGCTCCTTTGTAGTTGCAGAACCGTATGCTTCCCATTTAGCAAAAGGTCTCATGTCTTTCTAAGTATTTACATGTTTCATCTTCCCATAATTATTATCATTAGCTGTACTGATTTGCTTTCATGGCTCTTGCTACTGTAAAAATTTAATTGTCTTTTTCTTTCTACTAAAAAACCCTCAATATTTTTATTCCTACTTTGCTGTGTAAGTAGTGACTTGCTACATTTGTCCTATTGTCTCTTTAGAATTGCTTGTTATGCTGTTATGTGCTCACCTTGGGAAGTGACTATGTAGAAGATTATGACAACAGTAGATAACACTCAAGAACATCAGACCTACTGAAGGATTACCATTTTTTTTCTAATAAAGTATCACAATTTCCTGTCCTGAAACAATGGTCTGTGCATTATGGATTTACATTAGAAATCTAAACTGGACAAAATTATATTACGCATTAAAACTTCTTACGGTCTATCTGGTCTTGAAAAATTGTTTATGTAGGAAATTATGTCACAGCTCATTAAATCAGAAAGATCAATGCATTCTTTAGTGCTTAAAGGAAGAAAAATACAACATTTGAACTGATAAATTAATCACTCAAAAGCAAATAAATGTTCTAAAAATGTTAACCAACTTATTTTTGCTTTCCAGATCGTATGTATGGCACATGTGAGATAGACTGGGCAAAAGCCAGCTTCTCTACAATCTACAAGTCCTACATTGTCTCCATTTTTATCTGCTGTTTTTTCCTACCTGTCACAGTCATGATCTTCTCATACGTGTCAATTATCAATACTGTCAAGCTAAGCCATGCATTAACAGGACTGGGTGATCCCACAGACAGACAGAGGAGAATGGAGCGGGATGTCACCAGGGTGAGTTTGGATGTCATGGTGGATAGGATTTATATCAATGAAATCTCTTTCCAAAAATGGATTTCCAAAAACTAGAACAGAAGAGAAAAAAAACTGATCAGTCACATTTCACTTCTCTATAATCTCTAGTGAATTGAACTCAGTGAAGAATATGAGATTTGTTGAAAGCTCCTACCCCATCAGTTGGCTAATATTGATGCTACATCACATGTGAAAAATAATCTAAATCTAATTGGAGCGGGTTATACAGTACAAAAAAAAAATTTGGTTAGGCATATGCTCTTTTCTTTCAGAAGTTACGTTACTTCTGACCATACGCAATAGTTACAGTCGAGCTTTAAATTTACTTACCGTTGACTTAAGTCTACTCAAAACCTTCTGAATTCATATGAACATACAGGGGACTGTAGCTATTTTCATTCCATTGGATGAGGCATTTCTCAAGCACACCACCATGCTAAAATTCCATCTATAGCTTCTAGGTCTGCCTCGCTCCATCAAAGCAAACTTTTTGCTTGCCTGTATTCTCCTGTGAGCCATACCCTCAGGGCAATCTGAATGTTTCCCTTCCAGCCAAGTGTCCAAGCTACTATTCCCAGTGTATTGCTTCCCTGATGTAGTCTTCCAGAATAGATTTAAGACTATTCTTCTTCTGTCCTTTAGGTTTCTATTGTCATTTGCACAGCCTTCATTATTGCATGGTCACCATATGCTGTCATCTCTATATGGTCTGCCTATGGTCACCCTGTGCCCAACCTTACCAGCATCCTTGCCAGTTTGTTTGCGAAGTCCGCCAGCTTCTACAATCCCATTATCTACTTTGGAATGAGCTCCAAATTTCGGAGGGACATTTTCATCTTGTTCCATTGTGCCAAGGAAGTCAAGGACCCTGTGAAACTCAAACGCTTCAAAAACCTCAAGCAAAAACAGCAAGAGCATTCTCAGAAAGAAGAGAAGTATGCAGGAGAAACGCACCCTGCACCAAGCCCTGATTCTGGGGTGGGAAGTCCAACCAATACCCCACCACCAGCAAACAGGGAAGAGTATTTTGGTATTCTCGATACACCATCTAATAACCCTGATATTGAGTGCGATAGACTGTAAGTTTTGTGGCCACTTTACACATGCACTCACTTTGTGTTCAGGAAGACCCTCTTCAGATCAGCGCTTGAGTGATGTCCTAATTCCCAACCCATCTGTTTCTTGCTGTAGCACTGATGACTATACAATTCGAGCAAATCAGATGGTAAAGTGACATTTTCCTTCTATGTAGGTACAAAAAGCTACGAAGCACATTACAATGTGGGCAGCACACCCAGCGCCAGAAACATTTGATTTTCGCACGCGTGCAGGAAAAGGAAGACTGACTTGTGAAGAGCGGACATTAGCTAACAAAAATAACTAGTATGTTCCTATCCAAATTTTATTAATCAGGAGATGACATTTCCAAAAGCGGTTTTTGCCTTTCAACAGTCCCAGCCAGAGGATCGTTTTAGCTCCCTGGCGCTGTAGGAGAAGATGGGCCCTGCATGAGGTTGCTGTGACGCTGCTGCAGCCCCAACAGCTGCGAGTTGGTGGGCAAAGCCGCGCTCCCCCTCCGGGGCGCCGGGGCGAGCCCGCCATGTGGCCCCAGGCCCTGTGCGCACGGGGGGGCCCGCCAGACCGCCTGCACCTGACGCTTGGCCTGTCTGCGCGGGCGCTAGGAGCGGTCGATCTTGGCATTTGCTAGCCACTGTTGCTGTGACGCTGCTGCAGCCCCAACAGCTGCGAGTTGGTGGGCAAAGCCGCGCTCCCCCTCCGGGGCGCCGGGGCGAGCCCGCCATGTGGCCCCAGGCCCTGTGCGCACGGGGGGGCCCGCCAGACCGCCTGCGCCTGACGCTCGGCCTGTCTGCGCGGGCGCTAGGAGCGGTCGATCTTGGCATTTGCTAGCCACTGTAGTCTGAACAGTGGCTTCCCACTTTTCCTCATCGGTCTGCAGAACTATTCCCACCTTCCCAGTGAGTAGGGCCCGGCTGCAGCATGCAGGCTGCGGCAAGCTGGCCTCTAAATTTACTGCTCTCTCTCCAGACGGGTTGTTTTTCTGCCTGATTATTAAGGCGGAGCAAGAGACGCTGTGCAGGCAATGAAACCAAAAATGACACTAAGGTTTTAAGAGTACTGATGAAGTGTGGCATCAGAGCTATTTACAAACTATAATCCAACACTTCACTGTGTTCTGAAGAAACTTTTTGTACCTGCCTATGGGTAAAAAATGACTTTTAGGTGAATGTAACTAAGTAGCAAGTAAGGATAGTGATTTAAATAGCTAAGCCAAGCTGTAGGCTTAAAGTCAGTAGCAATAATACCAATAGTAGTTATAATAGCAAATTATTCCACCAAGTTTGTCTTACAGATTCAAAGTGAGGAGGTACATCTTCATAATTCCACATCTTGGAAATCAACTGCATACTCAGAGACTTCTGTAAAAATGTCTCTGTATTCGCCACAGAAATTGTGGGCTCATTTAGTGCCATTAGCAAGTTAAACAAGGGGAAAAACAGAAGGAGGAAAAAAAACCAACATCATTGGTTGCTAACCTCACTGCTATTTGTGACTTTTTGGAACCTCACTGTCTGGGTGTGCTAAAATGTAGTTGTTTTGCAAAAGTATGCTTTTCCAGATGTGTTTCTTGGGAAAGTTACAGAGAGAGCCCGCCTTCATTTCCTCCATTACTCTATTTGTTTTGAGAAAATCACCTGTGTTTTGAAGTTAAAAACAAATAAACATTATAAGCAACAACAGAGAACTGTGTTTTCTTTCATGGCCACAGATCTGAACCATAAGAGTGTTCATTTTTGTGGAAAATTTTGAGATATGGGTGCCATTTCATTACCATAAATAATTAAAAGCAAATAAGCAAATAGTTTGCTTCCAGATAAAAGTGCATGCCATAGCTGCAAAAACAGATGAAATCATTTAGGGCAAAATCCTGGCACCGCTGGGTGAAGCCAGGCTGGGCTAACCGAAGCTGCTAGAAGCAGCACAAAATCCACCGTGGTAACCCACCCTGCTGTGGCCTGAGCCTTCTCACTGCTGAGGGTGCTCGGGTCTTCCTCTGAAGAGAGGGCGCGCATCCCCATGGGATGTGGTTCTCGGAGGTACCTGCAGCCACAGGTGCGCCGGGCACCCGACCACAGAGCCTCCGTGGCCACGGATGCCAGGCTAGCTTTTAATCTGTACTTCCGCTAATTTATGGATGACTTGAGAAATTTCTTGCCCTGCTGCGTTGTAGCAATGCTGTGGGACCTGCAAGATTCAGACTTTGACATAGAAAGATGTGAAAAGGGCAAGGGGGGAGGTGGAGCAACAAGGCCATTTCCGGGAGCACCCCCAAACTAACTCCTGCACCCAGCGCGCCAGCCAAACTCATGGCTAGTTCACATGCCATTGAGCGCATACAGTGAGGCTAGATTGGAGGAAGAGGAGGGAGTAGTGAAAATGAACCAGAATAGGAGCAGAGCAGAGGAAAAATAAGAGGGGGAGAATGAGACAAGCAGGGGAGCAAGGGACCGGGAGCCAAAGGTTGGGATGCATACTTGCTGAAAGACAACTAGAAACCGCCAACACAGTAAAAGCCTTGACTGGACCGAAGCAGACCTCACTCCTGCAAGGCCTAAGGCTACAGTCCTTTGCGGATATACGGTAACACCGTGGGGCTGCATAACTGTAAAGCAGAATATCTGGTTTTGCAGGTTACACAGGGGAAAAGATGACAGATGCCTTTGCAGGCACCAACCTGTGCTCCAGGTTCAGTAACGGCAGGAGCACGTTTGTCACTGAAGCTGCACAGGTTAAAAAGCTTCCAGCCCTAAAGCACCAGTGCCCTGCTGCTGTACCCACGACACCAGCAAGTGGCTGAAGGCAGAAAAAGGGAACGTGCTTCAGCATTTTCAAGTGTGCGAGTCAACAGAAATCAATTTGTAAAAGATTTTGCCTGTGTCCTGCATTTCCTCCCCTTGTCTCTGGTCTCACACATGCCTGGACAAGGCTGGCCCCTGCTGCTGCCTCCACAGACAGTCTAGGTATGCTAAAGGGGGACGATGGGGTTTTATGCTTTTTACTTAGCAAGAATGAAGTACAGTGCAAACAGCATAGAGAGTCCTGGAGCTAAACTACTCCATCCCATAACCTTACTGCTCCCCACAATCTTGGATTTTCTTTTACAGTGGATGAGTTTTAGCAGCAGAGGTGTGAGAAGACTGTTGACCTGACTGGTGTTCTGGTGACAAGGATGCTTTCCTGGGAAACTTCAGCTTTGAACGCTCTCCGTTTGAGACAGTCTTACAAGGGAGGTCCCACTCACTTTGACAGACTACCTACCTTTTCCCAATGCTTTCTCTTTAGAAACACTGTATTTTTACTTTTTTCTAACGCAAAAAGTTGATGGGTGTGCCAAAGGCAGGGACAGATGTCGTAGCTCCATGAGAGAGTTGTTGACATCCCATCCCAGTGCTGCCAATTCACCTCGTGTGAGGGCACACAGCAGGCAGGCAGAGTGGGCTTGCTAACAGGACCCGGTTCTTCCCCTGCCTCTACCAGGGGCCTTTGTCAATGTGTTTTGTATCGAATGGATTAGTGCCAGCCTGCACAAATGAGATCTCATGACTATTGCTAGTATCCAAATGGTTTCTTGTCATGAGGCAGGAGAACAATATTCAGAGTTTCCTCTCTCTGGCATGTTGTCTCCTTCCATCTCTCTTGCTCAGCTCTGAATATTAGTGTGGTATTTGGTAATTGTCTGGGTTAGTTTCATGTATGACCCACTAAAACTAAGTAGAATTATCTGGCAGAATGCAGTAGGCCAAGTAATCCTACCCTTTCCAAAAGATGCTCTCAGCATTTGCTGGCTTGTTCCAGCAGGATCTGAGGCAGAAGTCAGCCCTCTCAAAGATAGATGCAAGAAACCCAGCCAACGAGCCTTACTAGCTGTTCATTATCCATCTCTGTACTCACAGTCCTGTTGACATCACTAAAGCACTCTGGAAAAAATCATATGCCTGAGCATAGTAAAAGTCACCCTGCAAAAAGCTTGAAGCCCTTAAGTCACCCTTTAAATATGCCTTTAGCTACTCTACATATTCATTTCCAAACATTATCCAACTGTTTTGATTAGCTATTGATTAGTACATTCAGCAGGTGAGTTAGCAGCTACACAATCCACATATTTACATGTGTATCAAAAACTCATCAGCTCTTATCTGATTATTTCTTATTATCAATAGTATTCATAATTATCAACATATCAGTATTATACCATATTACCTGCAGTTATTTGTCATGAAGCGCAGTTATTAATACTCACATTTACAACTTGGCCTTGCAGGCGGATTACCAACATCCCTGTCACTGACACAACTCTTTCACTTGGACTACACAGTCCAAACAATCAAGTTAACCCAGGATTACTTCTGTTCAAGTGCCCCATTTAAAAATAGCTGCTTCTGGTTTGGGGGAGAAGTTATAGCTATCATTTATTTATTTATGCCAAGAAAACCTTTGAGACCCACATTTCCCCTGCTGGCATTTTTGCTGAAAATCCTTTAGGGTGTCAGCACATTGAAATACATATCAACATTTCTTACTAGCTTTGACATTTTCTCACAGTAACATGAATAACTTGAGTATGTAGTTAGCGGGAGTGGGATAGCATACTGCAGTGCTGCTTTCACTGTTATTATGCCTTTTTATCTAATGACTCATGTAAAAGCCTTTCTTGTAGCAGAGACCAGAAAACAGGAAATCCCCCTCCACCCCCCTTAAGGCAGTGACTTTATTATGGTGTAAACTACTCAGGCTTGCATCCCCTTGCAGGCTCTCTTTCCACCCCTACAAATCCTTCATTCTTTGCTGCACAGGCTGACGAGATAAGAAGGATTCACAGTGTGCCCCTCCAAGCATGGCCTATGGTTTGGCACTTTCCTTAGGAGAGAGATGGAGACAAAATTCTTTCCCAAGGATTTTGGACAAGAGCGTTGTTCTCCTGCAAGCCTGATGAACGCTCCCACCCCAGGTGGTAATGAAAAAGGTGTGTAATGCTACCACGTCTGTACTTTCAACTATTCTGA